AAAAGAAAAGGAGAAGAGATTTGGCCGTTTGATTTGTATCAATGGACAAGATCCATTGGTCTAGGAGAGTCAAATCTTAACTATTTATAATGACTTAAAAGCATATGTGACATTTATCATTGATTTATGCTTAATTAATAAAAATATATCATTGATTAAGTTCAAAATAAAAATATGTTATTGATATATAGCTTAATAGTAAAAATTTTATTGACTTTGGGCTGAATTGCCTAATTTTCAATTTTTATTAACAGATGTATGAAACTGTCCCAAAAGTTTGACTTTAGGTACCACTCTGGGATAAAAAAAACTTTGATGTACCAAATGTTGAAAGTCAAGAAACTTGAAGGTAATAAAGTGAGATTAACCTAAATTTATTATATATCATATAAATAAGTGACTTATTATACTTTAAAAAAATACATAATTGTATTGAGATACATAAATTGTAAAATAAAATGAATTATAAAGTATTAGAATATATTGAAAACATGAAGAACAAACATATAATGAGTGTTCATCAAAATATTTAATAAGTTGTTTACATTTTATTGAAAAAATAAAATACAAAATGAATGTTTTTAATTTTCAATCTAAGTGAAAATTGCGATCTAAAAATGTGCTTAGGCCGTCTAGGCAGACCTCTAAATAGATCTAGACGCTCTCTATTAATTTTCATAATGCTTAGGAAGTAATCAAAATCCTGACGAGCAGCCTAGTGTAGAATTTTTAGAACAATGATATTAAATGATTCAGATTATTGAAAAAGATATTGCAAAAAAATGAAAAAGGGTCAATCTTGTTATAAAAATGTAAAAGTTATAGAGAGATAACCTTTATTCGGGACAGGAACGAAGCAGTTGCAGAGTATTATACCAACACAAGCTGTTACAGATGAAGTAATGTATATTATTACTATTAGATATTTTTCTCTTCCTTTTCTCTCTGCTTAATTGAACATTCGTAAAACTCTATTTATAGAGCATCACCATGGAAACAAACACAAACACTAGTAAGCATATGATATGTCTACTGTATGCATGTGGGCATACATTATTATACTATTTACAACACTCCCCCTTGGATGCCCACATATCAACATCAGTTGCCTCATTAAAACCTTGCTTGGAAAAACCCTGTGGGAAAAAAAAACCATAGCGAAGGAAAAAGAGTACAACTTTATCCGGATGGTATTGAGCATGCTTATGTTGCCTCGTTAAAACCTTGATAGGAAAAACCCAGTGGGAAAAATCCTAAGCGAAGGAAAAAGAGTACAACATGCATGTATCATGGATGCTCCCCCTGAATTGGATCTCCCCCTAATTCTGCATTCTTTAAATTTGTAAGCCGACGTAATCCGATTCCCTGCACCAGTTTATGAAATATGCACTTTGGTAGAGACTTGGTGAACAAGTATGCTAAATTGTCATTGGAACGGATTTGTCTGACTTCAATAACTTTAGCCTTCTGAAGCTCATGTGCGCTGAAAAATCTTGGAGATATGTGTTTAGTCTTATCACCTTTGATAAATCCTTCCTTCATCTGGGCGACACAGGCTGCATTATCTTCGTGGATGATAGTTGGAGTGTCTGTCTTTGAAGGTAGACCACATGAATTCCGGATGTGATGGATCATTGATCTTAACCAAGAACATTCACGACTTGCTTCATGTAGAGCAATTATTTCTGAATGATTGGAATATGTTGCAACTAGCGTTTGCTTCGTTGATCGCCATGAAATTGCAGTATCTCCATTAGTGAACACATATCCATTTTGTGAGTGGGCTTTATGCGGATCAGAGAGAAAACCAGCATCGGCGTATCCAACAAGGATTTGTTCATTTGTGGGCTTGTCTGAGTAGAAGATACCCATATCTGTTGTCTCACGAAGGTATCGTAGAACATCTTTGACTCCCTTCCAATGACGAATTGTTGGAGCAGAGCTGTACCTGGCTAACAAGTTAACTGAAAAAGCTATATCTGGTATAGTACATTGTGCTAAATACAATAAAGCACCTATTACGCTCAAATATGGTACTTCTGGACCAATGACCAGTTCGTCATCTTCTTTTGGACGGAATGGATCTTTCTTAACGTCTAAAGAACGAGCGACCATTGGGGTGCTAAGTGGATAAGCCTTGTCCATGCCAAATCGCTTCAATATTTTTTCAATGTAAGCTGATTGATGGACCAAAATTCCACTAACACAATGCTCGATCTGCAGGCCTAGACAATATTTGGTTTTCCCAAGGTCTTTCATTTCAAATTCGCTTTTCAGATATTCAGCAGTTTTATGGAGCTCTTCAGGAGTCCCAACTAAGTTCATATCATCAACATATACTGCCACTATAGTAAATCCAGAGTTGGATTTCTTAATGAACACACAAGGGCAGATGACATTGTTGATATATCATTCTCTAATCAAATACTCACTAAGGCGATTATACCACATTCGCCCAGATTGTTTCAGCCCATATAGTGATCGCCTTAATTTGATTGAGAACATACCCCGTGGTTTGTTTGTTGCTTCAGGCAACTTAAGTCCTTCTGGGACTTTCATATATATGTCAGTATCTAAATCTCCATATAGATACGCGGTGATGACATCCATAAGTTGCATGTCAAGTTTTTCTGAAATCACCAAACTTATTAAGTAACGGAACGTAATTGTGTCCATTACAGGAGAGTATGTCTCCTCATAATCAATTCCAGGTTTTTGTGAAAAGCCTTGTGCAACGAGTCGTGCTTTGTATCTAGCAATCTCGTTTTTCTCATTGCGTTTCCTTGTAAATACCCATTTGTAACCTACGGGGTTTACATTAGGTGGGGTTTGGACTACTGGTCCAAAAACACTTCGCCTTTCCAAGGATTTTAATTCTGCCTGGATTGCATCTTTCCACTTAGGCCAATCTTGTCTCTGTTTGCATTCATCAACAGAGCAGGGCTCAATATCATCACTTAATATGATTTCAGTGGCTACTGCGAATGCAAACATATCGTCAATGATTATTTCATTCCGATCCCACAATTCATTAGTACATGCATAATTTATGGAGATTTCTTTGCTTTCATGTACTTCTGTCTCTTCAGGACCATTTTCTTCTTCTGGAAGTCCAGAGGCATGAATTGTGGATTTGTCATTGACTCTCTCTTCCTGAATGACTTCATTTGGATTCAGTTGTGCCCTCGTCTTTCTCTTCCGAGGGGCTGAATCTTTTGAACCTGGTGGTCTACCACGCTTCAGGCGTGCACCAAATGAATCATTCGCTGCCACTTTATTTTGTCCAACAGGGACATCAATTCTGGCAGGTGCATTTGCAGCTGGTATATGCGATTTTGTCACTTTCATAGCGTCATTAAATGCATCTGGCATTTGATTGGCAATGCTTTGAAGATGAACGATCCTTTTCACTTCATTTTCACATTGAAGGGTTCGAGGATTAAAATAAGACAAGGTGGGAACAACCCATGTCAGCTTTTTCCGTTCTTCTGGAATGGTCTTTTCTCCCCTTAACGATGGGAAGACTGTCTCATCAAAATGACAATCAGCAAAACGAGCTGTAAACATATCACCTGTCAAGGGTTCCAAATATCTAATAATAGATGGTGAATCAAAACCCACATAAATTCTCAGTCTACGCTGAGGTCCCATTTTAGTGCGTTGCGGGGGTGCAATAGGCACATAAACAGCACAACCAAAATTTCGTAAATGTGAAATGTTTGGCTGATGTCCAAACACGAGTTGTATTGAGGAGTATTGGTGGTTGGCTATAGGTCTCAATCGAACCAATGATGCAGCATGTAGAATGACATGTCCCCATGCATAAACTGGCAATTTGGTTTTCATAAGCAGAGTTCGGGCTATTAACTGAAGCCGCTTGATCAATGCTTCTGCTAAACCATTTTGAGTATGGACATGAGGAACATGGTGTTCAACATCAATGCCCAATGTCATGCAGTAATCATCAAATGTTTGAGACGTAAATTCACCAGCGTTATCAAGTCGGATTGATTTAATGGGATAATCTGAGAATTGTGCTCGTAACTTAGTTATCTGAGCAAGAAGTCTCGCAAAAGCTACATTCCGAGTAGACAAGAGACAAACATGTGACCATCTAGTGGATGCATCAACCAAAACCATAAAATATCGAAATGGTCCACAAGATGGTTGAATAGGTCCACAGATATCCCCTTGAATTCTTTGTAGAAATAATGGGGATTCAGCATCAACCTTTAGTTGTGATGGTCTAATTACCAACTTCCCTTGAGAACAAGCCTTGCAAGGGTTATCATTTGAGATAGCAATGTCTCTGCTCAATAATGGATGTCCATTAGAGTTGGTAATGATCCTACGCATCATGGTGGATCCTGGATGACCCAGACGGTCATGCCAAAACATGTAAACCTTTGAATCAGTGAACTTCTGGTTCATGATAGTATGTGATTCAACTGTCCTTATGTATGTATAATATAATCCACTCGAAAAACCACACAACTTCTCCAATATACGCTTCAGGGTATCATTGGAGGTAATGCATAGATACTCCACATTTTTTGCACTTTTCGTTTCAATGTGGTATCCATTTAGACGTATGTCTTTGAAACTCAATAAATTTCGAGTAGATCGAGTAACATACAATGCATTTTGTATGGATAATATTGTTCCATTTGGTAACATAATCTGGGCTTTCCCTGAGCCTTCAATCACATCTGAAGGTCCTGATATTGTTGTTACCCCTATTTTTGTAAGCATTAAGCTTGAGAAATACTTTCGATCACGAAGTATTGTATGTGTGGTTGCACTGTCTGCAAGACAAATATCTCCGCCATTTCTTATGTTCTGAGAATAACCACAGTTTTTATCCATGCTTTCTGAGTAAATGGAATCACAGTTAACAAACAATTTATAACAGGAAATTTACATGCCATTTTTATTGAATCTGAAAAACTAGTTTTAGACAACAAGTTCAGCATAATAAAAGTACATCAAACATAAACTATTTAGTCGGACCGATATACTTCATTCCCCCTTTCCGTAATGAAGTCTGAAACATCTAGGTGAGTTGCGTCAAATTGCCCTGATAAATCAAACATTGTATCAGGTATATCCATTGGTTTAGCCTGGTCGAGAAAATTGGTCTCGACACCCTTCTTCTTGAGGGAGGCTTGATACAACTCCACCAGATGTTTTGGGGTACGACAAGTTCGCACCCAATGCCCATTGCCATCACACCTATGGCAGGCTCCTTCAGAGTTCCTGGGAGCATTGGTCATGTTAGCTTTGCCTTTGTGACGATTCACATTTTTGAAGCTCGGGCCATAATTATGCCTCTGAACCTGGTTGTGAAACTGACCACCATGGTTCTTGCCTTTCTTATTCCATCGACCTCGTTTGTGGCCACGTCCTTGTTTATGATAATTACCACCAGAGGATGTGGCGTTCACTTCGAGGGAAGTATAATTTACTTATGGGAATGGTACAGATCCAGTAGGTCGGGAATTATGGTTTTTCATCAGGAGCTCATTGTTCTGTTCAGCTACCAGGAGCACAGATATCAGCTGGTTGTATTCAGTGTAGCCTCGCGCTCTGTACTGCTGCTGCAGGAGCACGTTATTGGCATGAAATGTGCTGTAAGTCTTTTCCAGCAATATTTCATCAGTAATGGTATCCCCACAGAGCTTCATCTGAGAGGTAATCCTGAACAACGCAGAATTGTACTCCGCCACTGATTTGAAATCCTGAATTCTCAGGTGAGACCACTCATAGCGAGCTTTTGGAAGAATCACGGTTGTCTGGTGATTATATCTGCTTCGCAAGGCCTCCCAGAGAGCTAACGGATCTTCAACCATTAAGTACTCACTCTTTAGTGCCTCATCAAGATGGCGGCGAATAAAGATCATAGCCTTCGCCCGATTTTGAGAAGATGAGCTGATTTCTTCCCTGATGGTATCTCCAAGATTCCCTGCTTCCAGATGGATCTTGGTATCAAGTACCCAAGTAAGGTAATTCTTCCCGGTAATGTCCAGGGCAGCATATTCAAGCTTAGTCAAGTTCGTCATTTTCTTTTCTGAAAGAAAATGAGATGTGTAAGAACTTGCAGTAATATGTATTCATAGAGGAATGTGATGTTAGAACTTCTGGTTCTTACAAATTTTTCATTTTGATCTTCAGGCCAAAATGATAAGCACTCGAAACTTCTGGCTCGAGATTTTCAGGGTGAATGAGAAGGGCGATTGTATCGCACCATTCTCATTGAAAGAATGTAACATGGAATGGGCGAATAGTTTGCACCACTCAAGTAGCAAGAAAATTGAAATACGCAGAGCAGGGTGGGCGATTATACTGCACCACCTAAAATTGCAATGAAATTAAACAACAGGTAAATTTAAATTTGGAGAACAAGGAGGGCGATTATACCGCACCACCTAAAATTGCAATGAAATTAAATAACAGGTAAATTTAAATTTGAAGAGCAAGGAGGGCGATTATACCGCTCCACCTGAAATTTGCAGTAACATTAAATAACAGGTAAATTTAAATTTGGAGAACAAGGAGGGCGATTATACCGCTCCACCTGAAATTTGCAGTAAAATTAAATAACAGGTAAATTTAAATTTGGAGAACAAGGAGGACGATTATACCGCTCCACCTAAAATTGCAATAAAATCAATATAAATACTATGTTAGTAATCAATATCCAAACCAAACAAGTAATCAAAGATGTATGTAACCGCTAGTTGGAGAACTACGAGCAGGCATGGAGCAAATAGTTCGTCGCGAGGATATACCGCGCAGTTGAGGCAGATGAAGAAGATGAACAGGAAAAACTTTAGAGGAAACATTTTTTTTTTTCGTTCGGCGGAGAGAAATGAGAGAATGATTTCCTTTATTGTTTAGTGAATGTAAATGAGACATGGTTATACTTAGAGACTCGTGCTGATAATGTGTTATAAAAATGTAAAAGTTATAGAGAGATAACCTTTATTCGGGACAGGAACGAAGCAGTTGCAGAGTATTATACCAACACAAGCTGTTGCAGAGGAAGTAATGTATATTATTACTATTAGATATTTTTCTCTTCCTTTTCTCTATGCTTAGTTGAACATTCCTAAAACTCTATTTATAGAGCATCACCATAGAAACAAACAAAAACACTATTAAGCATATGATATGCCTAATGTGGGCATACATTATTATACTATTTACAACAAATCTATAAAATTACGAGTAGTAGTCGCAGGAGCAGTAGTTGCAGTCAAATATCCACTAACGACAAAAGAATGTAAATAGTAATAATTCGGGTGTACTTTTACTATTTAGACTTACCCTCTTGGTAATAAAAGTGAAATGAAAAAGACGACAAAAGATTTCCCAAAAAAACATAAAAATAAATAAATAATAAAAAATAAAAAAGTAATAAACGACACAAACCCCAAAGTCAAATCGATCTATCTTCACCGATCTCTCTTTACCCATCCCAGTTCGAACACTTTACTTCTCCCTTCTGCTTGGCCGCCGCCGCCTCGCCCCTCCTCCCCTTATTTCCACCATCAGTTCTGAAGAATGATTTTTTGTTGTTCTGGATCCATGCTAATCGGAGGAAGAAGCAAGCCACAGGGAGAGATTATGTATGACGGCTTGGATCCGTAAGATCCCCAAATCCAACTTCCCACTCCAATCCCAATCCCAGTCTCAACCTAATCGTGGAATTGAATTGAAGGTGTTTATTTTTCAGGCTCAACCCAAAATCCCAATTCCAATTTCAATCCCTCCCTATTATCCCGATTCAGTTATCCCAGTTCCATGAATCTCAATCGAATTTCAATTTTAATGCTAATTTTTATATATTTTCCTCTTATTGTTTTGCAGGCAGGCACATAGCACCAACATCAGATCAGAAACACAGAGAAGCAACAGAGGTAAATTTGACACAAACTACTTTGTTAGCTATACTATCTGTTACAAGTCAAATTACTCAGTCATAGAAAACAAAACAAAAAAACCTAATCCCAATATGCATCACTCTCCTGTCTCTCTCTGCGCCTCCTTCCAGCTCTCCTCTATCAGTCTTTCGTGCTCCGACCTCTTCACAAGTTTTCCGCACCACTTCGATCCCCACGGTAGTCGCCTCATAGGCGCAAACTCCCAGGTCCTGCTTTTCCGATCAAATTTACCAGTTAGTGGGATTCACAAACATACATTGTATGAAAATAATTTAATTCATGTAGGAGAGTTTTCTACTTACTCTCTTGGAAGCAGAACCCACGCCCCCAAACTCTCGATCCCTAGCACGTCTTTCCCCTTCTCGACGAGGATATTGCCATCCTCCCTGCCCTCTTTGCCGTATGAATCCCGTAGCATCCAGAATCGCTGACCATCATCGGTCACTCCGTGACCGATGAGAACTAAGGCATGGAGGCCCCATCCAACACCGCAATAACTGCAATGAACGCTAACAACCTGTCTAAAATGGGGACACTCGGAACTGGTGCATATGTGCTCAGGGACCTCTTGCGGTCCTACAATCATCCCCTACAATGCAGAAAAGGTGTTTTGATTAGAATTTTTATTTCTCGAAACCTTTAAAAAAGAGAGGTTTGCCCAACTCACTCTTGTATCAGAGTCAAATACAGGGTGGGATGCTATAGTGACAGCAATCGGATGCTTGTCTAGCATCCTCTCCATCTCGCGCTCCCCTTGAATACGGTGACATAATCCAAAGTATATCCACTGGCTAATATGCTAAAAATGAGAAATAGTTACACGGTGAGTATCTTTGTGTTTAAACTATAGAAAACAAGATTTCTAGTCCTTAAAAATAATTACTTTTAGATCAATTCCTTAATTAAGATTAAAAACTAGTTTAGTCCTTTGATTCGTGTTTGAGTTAGCATTTACATTCCATGTCATATTTAATTTGTTTTATGTAACTTTACTGTGTTTTGTCTTCCTATATTACACCAAAATATTGCTATTAAATGGTTTCTCAATTAAACGGATTTAAAAAAAAATTCTAAATCAGCATCCGACATTTAAAGATGCAACATCAAAAGGACTTAGAGATTAGGCTTCTGCATTTGAAAAAGAGATTAGGCAACCATCTATATATTGGTTGATATCTTAACATACATTTCGGTTGTCCGTTTTTTATTTGCATTTTAGGTCTCTTTATGTTCTTTCTATTGGTTTTGGACGACATATGACATGTGTATCTAGGTGATTCTAACGATTTTTGAAGAATGTGTTCAACCTTAGTAATAATTCGTGCATTGTGCTTGTGGTATTTATTCTTATTTTATTGCGTTTGTGGTTAATTTGTTTTGGTTGCTTTTATTATTGGATTTGATCATTTTGTTAGCGTATGAATTGTTGAGTTTGGAGTTGGGTTTGCTCATTTATGTATTAGATGTATGTGATTAGGTACTATAACTTGGATACATTCGATTAGGTATTATGATTTAGATACATTTGATTCGATAATATGATTTGGTGTGTTCAACGGGTACTATGATTTATGTGTGTTCTAATAGGTATTGTAATTTAGGTTTAAGGAGGTACTGTAATTTAGATACATATACTAATTTGGTGTATTATACGTGTTATACTTTGCCTTTTTTATCTTGTAATTTATGCATGATTACATGAAAAATCTTCTAGGTACAATAATCATGGAAGAAATCAAGCATAAATCAAGTCAAAACTAGTTCCTAGTAATGTGGAACATACCAAGAAAGTTTGAATAATTAATTACAGGGGCACAATGGGAATTAAAAGTCATTAATTTTTTTTAAAAACAATGGAATATGAGTTATCATAATCATGATGATGTGGAGGATTAAGATTAAATATCTTATCGAGCACTAGGTTTTGATGAAAAATTAATCTAATTCAAGTATTACAATTCATTTACCCAAACAAGTTAGGCATATTTTAAGCTAATTTAACCAATGAAAATCTGACCTTTTTTCGCTTCCCCATATACGGCCAATCTTTCTCGAGTATAGCACCACTAGTGTTCATCAGGCGAAAAGACATCATCAAATTATAACCTCGATCCCTGGAAACTCTAAAACGGCGCGCGATACTCTGCGGAGAGAGCATAACTCGTCTCCGCGTCTCTAAAGCGTATAGCGCCTCGGCGCATACGCATGTGGATATTGCCCAACAATGGGAACTATCCCCTTGGTCGCGGATAGGACCCATGATGGGCCTCCAGTCCACAATATAATCTCTATCATTGTCCTGCAAAAATCCATTTTGGTGTCCACACAATCAGACTTAATAATACATCTCCATACGTACACATTGGTTGGTAAAAGTCTATGCACACATACATAAAAATATATCTCATGTTTATTTTTTATCATGTATGCACATTGTTTCTTTGAGATTGTGCCTTTTCGGTCATGTATGCTCTTTGTTTCTTTGATTAATCTAATTCATCTAACGATAATCAATATAGTTTGATTGGGACCATCACCTTCACCTAAATGATTGTAATTTTCAATTCATTTCTATATTAGTGTTCCTTTGGAAAGAGAGATTCCCTTTTGAAATCATTTCACTCGACCTAGTGGAGTCACTTGGCCAATTAGTGCTTGCTTTGCCACGTGCTCAAAAAGTGAGTTACCCATCCAATGAGGGGTTGCCACGCGTGTGAAATGGTTGCAAGAGAAAATCTCCCTCTCCTTTAGGAGGTTTAGGGTTTGTGAAGACCGTTCAATGCCAAGTTTGAAGATCAATTCATGAACACCTAGTAAAGGGTACAATGTATACATGGACATAATAAGTAAAATGATTGGGGGAAATTAGCAACAAGAAAATAATGCACTTGTACATTTCGGTCTAGTGTAACCTAGTATTCAATACATTGATAAGGTAGGCGAACTTGGTTGTTGGGAGAGAGAAGCTAATAAGGGGGCGTTTGTTTGAGCTCGCTAGCTTTCACTGGCTTAGACTGGACTATGTAGTAGTCCAATCCCGTGTTTGTTAACAGTCCGGACTAAGTTTAATGAGATTAGAAGGGACTCGCGGGGACTAACTCCCTCGCTAGCAAACCCTTCGAGAACCATGGGATTAGCGGGGACTAACTCCCTCTCGTCTTCCTCTGCTCCTATGTTTTCACAAACGCCGAGAGCCACCATCATTCCCCCTCGCCAATTCCCCCTTCCCTTCCTCCTCTCTCTTCGCTTTCTTCTCTTTTTGCTCCGTCGAGATCCAAGCTCGGCTCGAACTCGGCTGCCACAGCGACAGTTGCTCCATCCTCTTCATGCTGCAAATTTGCTTCTCTGACCACCTGTACCCAGACCTGAAACCCACCACCTAATTCTCAACATCCAACCACCAAAATTTGAAAAGAAAAAAAAAATCAATTCGATAACAACAAAAAAAAACTCAATAGAAAAATTCTTCATTTTTCCCAAAAAATTAAGAGATTTTCTGAGAAAATCAAAGGAGGGTCGAGAAACAAAGTGGTTGTGAAATCCATGACGCCGCAGAGAGGAGCTTCTACACGATTTCAATTTTCCGTGGGATTTGACGTTGGGAAATCAGAATATGTGGTGCCATAAATAATTTAGAGGGTGATGAATGATGATGTTTTGAGGGAGGAGAGACTGGAAAGGAAAAGAAAAGACGAAGAAAGGGAGAGGGTCGGAGCAACATTAAGAAGAAAAAGGAAGATCACAGGAAAAAAAAATTGGGAATGGAGATGGGAGTTTCCGGAATGATAAAAGAAATAGATAATGGTAGTACTAAATATGTATTAAATAATATAAAATATTAATAAAATATGAATGAGAAAATATAATATTAGAATTTGTTGTTATCCTATTTTTTAGTCTGACACTGCACCAAACGCTTCACTAAGTCAGTCCAACTTTGTCTAGTCTAAACCAGTCCAGCTTAGTCCCTGAAGTTAGTCCAGTCCTAGATAGTCCGGTACAACAAACACACCCTAAGAGTCCTAGTAGCGCCACTTGTATTCCTAAGATCCTCTGGGCCCGAGCCTAGTAACGAGGATTATTGACTGAATTAGTAGTCATCGACTGCCTCCAATTTTAAGAACGATGTGTTCTATGGTGTCATGGTGTCAAGCGGGAGAGAAGGGATTTCAAGACTTTGAATGAAATCACCCTCACAGAGCATCTGCCTAGCCTCGACAACTCTCACAAAATGGAGTCTGGCATTCTAATAGAAAAAGAAGTGAAGAACATTAGGTAATGTTAAAGCAAGTAACACATCAAACTCTCTTCTTTTTTTTATAACAAAAATAACCTACTAAATAAATGGCGAAAGTTACGAAATATTCAAACCTTTTTCCTGTTATACTCTTCCACAGAGAAACGGGCAGGAGCCATGGGATGATCCATAGAACAAGGAGATGGACGGCCGAGGAGTAGATTGTTCATAGAATAAGGGGATGGACGGCCAAGGATGCTTACGCCGTAGCTTCGGCCCTATACAAATTGTAACGAGAAGTGTTACAACCACACAAAAAGGACAATCCTTGCACAAAACCTAAAACCACTAAGACATCTAGCTAGTAGTAGTTAAAACAGATAGACGAACACGGTATGTACACAGATGTAAATATACATGTAGTATGTTCATCGGGTTCAAAATGTGATACCTGCATGAGCAAAGATTTGGTCGAATGAGGACTTTTTTCGCGGTGGCAGAGAGAGCTTGAGGTTGAGCCATTGTGGTGGTAGATGGCAGCAGTACCAAATCGAAAACCCTTGACCAAGTTTGCAACAGCCTTTCTATTGGTGTTAAGACAACAGGATGGCTTACTCCACATTTTTACCAAACTCTGTATATAAATAAATTAGATTTTGGGTCATCATCATCACAATCATCACGATCATATCAAAAAACCAACTCATTTTTCGGTAATCGCAATCATCGTCATGTTGATAATATAATGCGGAAGTTGAACCCCTAAATCCCAATACAAGAAGCAAGTAATAAACAACGAAATCGGGACGGTGGACTTCCAATTCCCAAGAGATTTGACGTCCATGGATTGCATTTGCAAGCCGGGCTTTTTGTGATCCATTTGTTCTAACAGTGAGCTAAATAAATAGGTAGCAGACCGGCCAAACTTGCAAAGAAATCCAACAAAACGTAAAGAGAAGAAAATTCAAGCAACTAAAAGTAGAAACCCTAGATCCCAAATCTAGCCCAATTTTTCTTCAAAGAAATCCAAACGGTACTACAAGGCATGGATCCATATACGTCGCACAAAATAACTAGTAAAAATCAACTACATTGTCATTGATTGAGTCGGTGAATTGAAATTGCTTACTCACCCAAGAGAGAAGACGAGATCGGAGACCCGCTGTGAATTTTTTCTCTCTGAATTTTCCTTCAGCTGTCGACTGCTTGCCGCATCTTCCATCTTTCCGGTTGTTTTTGCATTTATTGTACTTTGTTGAGCTTCCTACTGCCGTTGGATGAAACCCCGATCAGATCCTTTGGGCTACATTTCCATCTAACGGTGCACCTAGAGGCTGGAGCCTTAATGTTAACTAATAAGTTTTTTAGAAAATTAAGGGTCTCATTAGATTTTAGTCTTAACGAAAACACATTTAGTGGGATTTTTCCAGATTTTTCAAGGCCATGAGATACCTACCCCCTGGAGCAATTCTACACTAAGGTAATTACTGCTTTAGTGAACAATAACCGCATGACTGCATCTCCACCTCAGAAATCAATGCCCCAAGCAACTGAGCAAGTGCATCAAAGATTAGTTTTTTTTTTCCCCTAAAAAAATTAATAAAAGAATATTATGATTAATTTCCGATAGGATATTTAAAAAAATCCGTCGCGCCATGTATTTTTTTAATTGTAAATATTTTTTTTGGCTAAATTTATATTGGTTGTTAGATTATTTAAATTTTGTGACCAATTTGTGCCACATGGCACGTCAATCATTTTCGTTTTTTTTTAATTTTATAAACTCAAAAACTGAATTATTATGATAGTCCGATTATATGACCATTGGAAATCTAGGGGTCTAAATCTCCCACGTTATAAAGCATCTGCATTGCAGGTCTCACTGAAATTTTGTCCCTCGACGCGCCACCACGCGCACGTGTAATACACGTGCTGAGCACAAAAAAATTTCAACTTGATTGGCGCCAGGTTGACGTCACACCAACTCAGGCCCTCACTCGAGCCATTCTTGCTCGACTGCCCAAGGGTGTTGGGCTAGCCTGACTTGTTTGGTTTGGGGTGAAGGGGATTTTGCGGGTTTTGGGGGGTTCATTCACGCACTTGCACGAGGGGTGTACTTGGTCTTACTAGGCTGATTTCAACGTTAGAAAATTCAATTTTATGGTATTTATGTCGTGCAAAATATTAGAGAGAGAGAGAGAGAGAGAGAGAGAGACAACGGCAGGAAAGGGGGTGGTTATCATTGGCCGACACCACCAACAGGGAAGGTGGCGTAGGATGAGTGCTTAAGATAAGGTGTTAGAACTTTTCATTTCTAAGTGAGGTTTTAGGTTCGATTATCATCAAAAACGAATTTGAATTACATTATTGTTATCTCATTATGAGGTTAAACTCATCCCCTCCCGTGTAGATAACAACAATAGAAGCCCTAAAATTGGAATTTTCAAAGAATAATTTTGAATTTAGGGCGTATTCATAAGATTGTGAGATGTTGGTAGAAGCATCCATTTCAATATTGAATCAGCCCATCAAATTTGATCCAATATGGATAATTTAATCACTTTTATTAAAAATGAAGGTGATGATGAACCTGAATGTACACTACAATTAAACCTCTATAAATTAACAGCTCTGAAACCAAGAAAAATCTGTAGTAAAATGTCGATATTTTGGGATCTCTCCTACTAAGTCCACTAAACTCAGTGATCTGGACCATTAAAATTTGATTCAACGTCTAAAAACATACTCCTTTTAAAAGTTATAATAATTTTAGTCGTTGGATCAAATTTAAAAAACTCAGATCACTGGGTTTGGTGGACTTGGTAGGAGAGATATAGAGATGATCTCTTCCCAATAACCAAAATTATTAATTTATTTATTATTTGCATCTTCTTCTTCTTCTTCTTCCTCTTCCTGTGAAATCTGGGGAAGTTTGTTTGTTTTTTTTTTCTTTTTTTTTCTTCCTCCTTTCTTTTTCTTCTTCCTCCGACTGCAATTTTTTTTTTCTTCCTCATTCTTCGTCTTCCTTCCCCTTCTTCCTCCTCCTTCCTTCCTTCCTCCTTCTTCTTCTTCCTCAAAAAAAAAAAAAAAAAAAAAAAAACTTTCATCTTCCCCCAGATTCGGAGGAAGAAGAAGAAGAACGAAGAAGGAGAAGAAGGGGAAGGAATAAGGAAGAAGGAGGAAGGAAGAAGGAGAAGGAGGAAGAAAAAAAAACTGAATCTGGGCAGATTCGGAGGAAGAAGAAGAAGAAGAAGAAGAAGAGGGAAGAAGAAGAAGAAGAAAGAAGAAAAAAAAAAAGAAAATACAGAATCTGGGTAGATTCGAGAAGAGGAAGAAGAAGAAGAAGAAAGAGGAAAGAGAAGGAAGAAGAAGAAGAAAAAGAAAAAGAAAAAGTTTCCCCAGATTCGGAGGAAGAAGAAGGAGAATGAGAAGGAAGAAGGGGAAGAAGGGGAAGAAAGGGAAGGAAGGAAGAAGAAGGAAGAAAAAAAAAAGAAAAAAAAAGAAAGTTGCAGTCGGAGGAAGAAGAAGAAGGAAGAAGGAAGAAGAAAAGAAAAGAAAAAGCTCGGATGACACGTGGCGCCAAGTCAGTGTGCCACGTCACAGTTAACAGAAAACTTAACAGTTTGACTAACGGATGTATGAGACTGTCCCAAAATTTACACTTTAGGTATGAATCTGAGACGAAATAAACTTAATGTACTAAATGTTGAAAACCACGAAACATAAGGGTAGTAAACAGTCTTTTACCCTATATATATATATATATATATATATATATATATATATATGTATAGGGGTGATATCCACACCCCTTTTTACTTCTTCCACACTTTTTTAGTTTTCGGCCATCGAATCGGATGGATCGAAGAAAATCAACGGATATAAATTAATAAAGAGTGAGAAGTAAAAAAAAATGTGGATAACACACACACACATATATATATATATATATATATATATATATATATATATGAGTCACAATGTAAACAGGGCTGGCCCATGGGTTGTGCGAGGTGTGCATTCGCACAGGCCCAAAAGGTAAGGGTACTCCGGAGAATTATTTTGGTCCAAGATTGAAAACGGGCCAATGTGCTGAAAATGTGTGTTTTCTTTTGAGCTAGCTCATATTTCAAAATACAGTGGTCCTTTTGTCTTACTTGTCCAGGCCTATACTTATTGTCCAAAACAATTTGACTTTTATTATATCAAATTTAAGAAGAGTTTTTATCATAAATTATCTCTGAAATTGATCGTCACCATTAAGATGGTCTTTAAAATTGAAAATCAATTAATGTAGTCATTGAAAATAAGTGTAGCAAATCAATATGGTTCTTCCGTCACAGTTTTGTTAAAAATTCCTTTAAGTGCAAAAGTGGCACATATGGACGCATAAGATTCACCGGTTTTTATCACAAAAATGATCCCTGAAATTAACCTACACTATCAAGTTCTGGGTTTATGGGGTTTCGATGGAAAATAAGAAAAGGGATTTTGGGAGAAATCGGTGAAATCAAGTTCTAGGTTGGGGGCAAAGAGAGCGGGAGAGTGAAACAAAGAACAGAGAGAGGCCTTAGCTAGGCTAGTCCCATTGTTTTTGGAAAGTCTTGATAAGAATCTCCAAGGACGCCTTTAGCATAGGCAAGTCCAAGCTAATGTCAATAACATTAACCCCGATTGATCACTGGACTAGACTAATAATTAGTCCAGTCTAGTTCAATTACAATTAGTAAGGGCAAACAAAAATCCCCTAATAATATTAACAAGGCAACTTTTTGCACTCCATCCATAATGATAACTTTATAAATTTAAGGCTTATTTTTAGTAATGTTCTCTTTTAAAACTTCATTTTGATATCACTTTGCTCTCAACTTAAAAGTCATCACTTTATTTTCTAAAACTAAAAATTCGTTTCACTTTAACTAGAGCAACGAGGGATCATAGTCCATAATATTAACACAAATGGTTAATAAAAATGTGCAATTTTGGTAGTAGAAGTTCCATAGCGAATCGTCTTTTCCACAAACTCGTGCTTCTTGTGTTTACCTGGTCAGCAAAGTTGACAATTAAGCACATGCCAAACAATGAATCTCAAACTACTTCGATATTTACGCCTAATTATTGTTGCGCCCGTTAAAAGTATTTCTGGAATCCCACGTTGCCCCCGAAAACTCTGTCTCGCCTACTTCGCCCTTCCTGTCTCACTTTTTCCTCGGTCCATCAAATTTGTCAACAACTCTTATCGACTTCAGTTGAAGAAATAGGGATAAAAGCGAGATGGCAAAAGTGTGACAAGATGAGTTTCCAAAGGCAAAATGAGATTTGAGAGACAGTAAATGGGCATACCAATAATCAAGCCTAAAAAGAAATCCAAGCACAATCCATTATATATATAAATAAACACGCATGTTGTGAATATCGCGTTTTAAGAACGGAAAAAACATAACAAACTCAGGAAATTGAAAACAGAATAACCAAGTTAAACTACCCCAAGAATTATCGTGGTTCAACTATATGTGCCTATGTTCACGAGGCAACAACAATCATTCACTACATCAATAACAAGTGCAACGAATAACCTTACCAAGCCTCTCATTCTTGACGAAAAACCTGAAAGAATAAGAACAAGAAATACACTCTATATCTTTTCTTAACCACCTCGGGGCCCCCGCACACACAATTTGCCCTTACAATATTCTATCACTCTCAACTCCCCAAGTGGTATACAACTTATTGTTTTCCTCCAATTCAGAATTAGTGCAATAGTTCATTTATATTGACATATAAAGGTCTTCTTCAATAACGATTACTGATCCTAATTGGAATCTAGTTATCAATCATTCTCTCATTGGAAAACCAACTCAAAACGATCGATCTAGCCATGAGCAGGTTGAAGAGAGCTCTAACATGCCTTGGGGGACTGAACCCACGTATGTGGCAAAATACTGAAAGGCCAACCAAGATCCAAGTAGGGAAACAACTTCAATTTGATAAATAATTTAATCCTCTAAGATTATAATTCCAATAGACTTTGGGCAACACATCATGGGCTAGAAGAACCCAACAACACACATACATTGCACATAGCAAAACACACGTAAGCACAATCACCGTTTGCAAATTAACACGAGCATGTTTCCATCCATTCGGATCAAGTACACGAGGATCCTTACAAGGTTGGTTTTCTTAGTGGAACCGAGATCATCATCACCACACACACACTCTGACCTCACACATTCAATAAGCATGCGCCTTAGTGAAACAAACTTTCGTAATGATATATTAACAGGGTACCATAGCATAGAACAGTTACCTCCGCCAAATGATATCAGCTTCATATTGCAGCCGAATCTGCTCTGAACTCTTGCATTGTACATTTCGGTCACACCCCCATCAACCGCATCAAAGTATACATTTTGAATGAAATCACCATGAAAAAGCATCTGCCTAGCGTGGACAACTCTCACAAAATGCAGTTTGGCATTCTAATAGAGAAGAAGCAAAGAACATTAGATAGAGTTAAAACAACATATTAAACTCCCTTTTTTGATAAAAAAAAAATAAAGGCTAAACAGCCAAAATGGTCCTGAGATTTGCATAGTAAATAGAAATGGTCCCTAAGATTGTGTACCATCCATGATTTTGGTTATTCTGTTAAAAACTCTTTGGGTAATTTTCAAAGTTTCGTAACTCAATCGTTTCTTAACCAAATTCGACCCATAATATATCAAAATGAAGATAGGAAAAAACAAGGTATCATATTAAACTCCCTTTTTTTGATAAAAAAAAAAGGCTAAACAGCCAAAATAGTCCTGAGATTTGCATAATCAATAGAAATGGTCCTGCGATTTGCATAATCAATAGAAATGGTCCCTGAGATTGTGTATCATCCATGATTTTGGTTATTCCATTAAAAACTCTTTGGGTAATTTTCAAAGTTTCGTAACTCAATCGTTTCTTAACCAAATTCGACCCATAATATATCAAAATGAAGATAGGAAAGTGTAAAACAAGATTATACCTATTTTGAAGCCTAATGGTTGCCGGAGATGGTCGGAAAATAGCCTGAAAGGTAATTGGTCCATGGAAAAACTAGAAAATTCGCCGAAAACTTTAAATGTTCATAACTTTTTCAATACGCAACAAAATTGAGTGATTCAAAAACGAAAATCATATTTCTCGACGAGACGAAGATAATGGTACCTTTCTCGAAGGCTAACTCACTTTGGTTTGGCCGGAAAACGGCTCAATTCAAGAAAGGTACCATTATCTTCGTCTTGTCGAAAAGTATGATTTTTATTTTTAAATAACTCGATTTCGTTGAGTATTGAAGAAGTTATAAACGTTTAAAGTTTACCCAGTTTCTGGCGAGTTTTTCAATTTTCCCGCGGACCACCTTTCAGGCAATTTTTTGACCATCTTCGGCAACCATTGGCATTTTACAGCCATCTCCGGCAATCTTTGGCTTCCAAATAAGTATAATCTTGCTATACGTTTTCCTATGTTCATTTTGATATCTTATGAGTCGAATTTGGTTAAGAATCAATTGATTTACGAAGTTTTGAAAATTACCCAAAGAGTTTTTAACGGAATGACCAAAATCATGGATGGTGGATAATCTCATTGACCAATTATATTAATTTTCAATCTCAATGACCATTTTGATTGATTATGCAAATAGCCAAAAATAAACTATAAAATAAATGGCAAAAGTTACGATATAATTCAAACCTTTTTCTTGTTATACTCTTCCACGGCAAAAAGGGCAGGAGCCATATTCATGGGATGATCCATAGAATAAGGAGATGGATGGCCGCGTTGGTCGAACCCGAAGCATTGTCCGTAGGTTTGGCCCTATTCAACATTGAAACCAAGTAGTGTTACAACAACCACACAAAATAAGACAATCCTAGCACAAATCTAAAAGCACTAAGACATCCGGTAGTAAAAAAGATAGGCCAACACATTATGTACATAGCCGTAATATACACATTATGTACATAACCGTAATATACACGTATTCTCTTTTCTTTTGCAAGACAGGGGAATTGCTTGTGTGACCCATTGTCCATGGAATGGAAGTGTAATAACTGAACGGTATATTCCTAAAAAAATGTCAATCACATCGACAACCAACTAAACACTTGATTATCAGTTCAGATCATTGAAAAGTAATACCCGCGTCCGCCTACTATTGGGAGGAATTTTTTCCTGGCAGCGAAAGAAATAGCCATGCCCGAAGAGAGACCTTGAGGTTGAACCATTGTAGCGGTTGACGGCAGCGGTGGCGAATCTAAGACCTCCGACCAAATTTGCAGCAGCTATTTTATTGGTGTGAAGAAAACTTGATGACTTACTCCACATTGTTCCCAACCAGAGACTGAATTGTTGTTCCAAAATCTGTAATGAATTAGATTCTGGGTAATCATCATCATCATCACCATCATATTAATAATATAATGTTGAAAGTTAAAACCCTAAACCTCAAAACCAACGCAATTTTTATCAATACTACAAGGAACTAAATTTTATCAATACAAGCAATACTACAAGGCTAGATCTTGATCAAACCAAATAACAAGGAAATCGAATCGGTGAAATGTAAGACACAACCTAACAATCATTTGGGATTCTACCCGTTTCAGGCTATATGTATGGACGAGGGACTTCCAAGTCCCAAGAGATTTGATATCCATGGAGTGCATTTGTAAGCCGACCTGATAATCTTTTTGTGACCATTTGTTACTAAACTGGCCTCCATCCCTCGGAATTTGAAAGTCCCTCTACCAAATACCAAATACAGACATAATGCAAAACAGCCTCCTTGTGACCAAAGGGTCACGGGTTTGAGCAGTGAAAACAGCGTTTTTGCAAAGCAAAGGTAAATACCTCTACCCTTACAAAGAGGGAAGGCAAGTGAGCTATAATTAAATAAAAAGTTAGCTGACCGGCCAAACGTGCAATATCCAGAGCCCCTAAACCCTAAACCTCCCAATAAAATCCAAAGAGAAGAATATATTGAGTAATTGAGAGTTGAAACCCTAGATCCCAAATCTAGCTCAAATTTTTTCTTCAGAAAATTCCAATCAAAACTACAGGGCGTAGATCTATGTATGTCTCACCAAAAAACCGGTAAAAAATCAACCAAATTGATTGAATCGGTGAAATAAAATTACATACTCGCCCAAGAGAGACGACAAGATCCGCGACTGCTGTGAAATTTTCTTTTCTTTAGCCGTCGACTGCTTACCTCATCTTGCATATTTGCGTTTATGGGGCTTTGTTGGGCTTCTTACTACCGTTGGATGAAACCTCGATCATATCCTTTGGGCTACATTTCCATCCAACGATGTACCTGGAGACTAGAGTCTTAATTTGAACTAACAAATTTAAGAAAATTGTAGAAATCTTCCCTTAATTTTAACTTAATTTGAGCAATGATTTTTTAACTAAAAATTCATGATCATTGATCTCGTAACTCATCAAAATGTGCATGATCTTTTTCGTCAACTATATATGAGTTTCGTCAAAATGAGTCATATTAGAAGGATTACTGTTACACTTGGTTAAAATTGATGGACATTGCTCCAATGGGTATAGTTAAGGGGTCATTTCTCCAATTAGGTTAAAGTGAAGACCATTGCTACAATTTTTCTTATTTGGTTTTCCATATTTGTCCCTTGATTCAGCTTCGTATGAGTGGGATATGACTCATTTTGACGAAGGTTCTAACAGAGTTGGCGAAAAATATCATAGTTGCACATTTTAATGAGTTACGGAATCAATGATCATGAATGTTTAATTAAGAGATCATTACTCCAATTAAGTAAAAATTAATGAACCATTTCTATAATAATCTCAACAAATTTTGATTGCTTTTTACTTACCTCATTGTTCTGTTTTTCAACCTACAATACAAAACCCACCATAAATTTTTAAAAAAAAATTCTAAAACTATTTTTCCACCCGTCATTATTCCCTGCATGTCAAAAGGAATTTAAAAAAAAAAATTCAACTCAATTCGACTGGACATATAAAGAACCGGTACCGAACCAAAGTCTTACAGCCTGGTTATGTTTTATACCGAAACCGAAAGAAATATTAAAAAACCTAACATTATGTTTAGATGAAGAGAATAAACTTAGAATTCGGATAAAAGTCAGAATTTATAAATTGACATGCACCAATTCCCTTGTTTGGATTCATAAACTATAGAAATTTAGAAATTTCGCATGGAAAAAAACTTGGAATTTGGGGCCTCCAATTTCCAAGTTTAAATTTCACGTAAATAGGTGTCATTTCCCAATTTCTATGACTGAGTTTAAAAATAGCAAATTTCGTATTCAATCCTATTGTTATTTTAGCTTAACCAAACAAGAAAATTCACAAATTCTATAAAATAAAATTCTGTAATTTCGATTTCTGTCATTTTAAAATTTCTGAGTAATCTTAAATTTTTTTCATCTAAACATAATGTAATAGACCGAACATGGGTATTGGAAACTTTAAATAGGTTCCCAATTTTTATATTTCCGGTTCAGGCCAGATTCGGTTTGATTCTCAATTCATTATTCTCAATGCTCATCATGAAGTTTAAATTATTATCATTTCTCATATATTTAACATTTTATTTATAGTCCAACATTTTACAAAGTAAGCTTCAACCATTAAAAAAGTTTGGCAAGATGCAGTCTCTCTAAGAGCAGTTCCATCGGGGAACCTTTAGGCCGGCACCCAGTCAAATTATTGGCCCGGCACCCAGCCAATCCACTCCAGCCGAGCAGATAGGCTGGCACCCAGCCCAAGCTGGTCTCTAGGCTGGCTCAGAATGTACTGAGCTCTTGCCCGGCCTACATGACGCCATGCGATACCGCCACGCCTCCCTCGACCCTAATTCAACTCCCTGGGTGTGGAGCACCTCCTTGGCGAGCTCCGACGAGGAGACGACGACGAGGTTATGCTGCCCCATGCGGAGGAGGAAGCAGTCGCCAAATTTCTTGGTAAGGTCGATGAGGGGACGATCACAGCGACGATGGCAATGGCGACGGCGACGACGATGGGGGTTTTATAATCATACACTTCAAGTTCTTGGATTTGCTAAGGGGTGTGTCGGTGGTTATTAATGGCATCTTGATCGTCCCCAAAAGCACCATCCATGTTGTCACTCCCAGATCTGCTCTCGTGCTTATCTTTTCTGCTCCTTCTCCCGCCGTTGTTTGCCTCATAATTCTCAACCACTCTCGTCACATCTCTTTGCCCATCCACATTTGTCTGCTGATAATATATACCAAACAATAAAATAAATACACAATCAGAACCAAAAAATAACAAAAACCCCATATTAGAAGAGTGGGAAGAAGAAGGGATTGCAGTGGGAGAGTGAAAGTGGGAAGAAGAAGAAGGGATAATGTTTTAGAAATTAAAAATTAAATTATTATTTTATAATAAAAAATAATAATATTTTAATAAAATTGACTAGGTTATTTTTTGTTAGGGGTGGAGATGCATTGTCCTATTATTGTTCATTAGAGTCTATTACTGCTCACTAGAGTTGATAAATAGGCTAGGTGCTGGCACAAAGTCCTTAGGGGTGGACTTGCTCTAAAGGTCATCTCCAATAAAAAAGGTTATGTTTAGCCCATATCTAAATTATAGTTTAGCAAAATTTTTTTTTTTAATAAACAGTGTCTGTTCATATCTATATACAATCTCCAATCGAAGTGAGCTATTTTTGAGTCCATCAATTATTTATTATTTCAAATTTGTTCTTTAATTTTATCGTTTAATTGAATTCAACTACTATATTAAAATAAAGTTTCCGAACATATTTTAAGGATCATTTGTTGCTAAATGTTGTTTTAAGTTTCATGTTATTAAATGTTTTAATTTTACTTGCATGTTAACAATTTAGACATTAAATTGAGGTAAGATAGTATGGAAAGGTGAAAATGATGTGAGAAATTGTGTAAAAATGACTTAGGTATTTATAGAGAAAAAAAAAATTAAAAATCTTTTTTTTTTAATTTCGTCTTAAAAAAAAGGTTACATGACGTTAGCTAGCAATACAGCTAGGCCCAACTTTCAAGGCGAGTTGGCTAGCTATGTTTGCCTAGCCCTCTGGCCATTTGGCTATATTTTGGCCTTATGGGCCCCAATTTTTTTTTTGCCCAACCATCTATTAGAGATGGATTTTGTGTCAAAACAGGTTATGTTTTGGCCTATAGCTATTTGGCTGCCTTTGTTGGAAATGGCCTAAGAGTCTTTTGGATAATTTTATAATATTTCTTTATTTTCGCTCATAAATTATTTATAGTTTTATTTTTTGGTTGTTGTGTCTTGTTTTAATTTAAGGGTTAGAGATGGTTTAAGTGGCTAAAGAGTAGATAAGTCTTATAATGGACTAACCATAATAATATAATTCAAATTTATCTTTGGCAAAAATCGAATTAAGATCTTTCACTTACAAATGAAAAATAGTACCACTAAACTGTAGTACTAAATGTCTGGTTGTTATGACTCGTATATTGTGGTTTTTAACTGCTCTTCCCATTGAAATATACGGGTTAGAAGGAAAGCATGCTTTGATTATTCAAAAAAAGAGTAAATAAGTTTCCTAAAACATCTCAAATGTAAATACCACGTTACCCTTGTCTCCACACTAAGGGGTGTATTCAATCAGGATTTTAAGTGATTATCTAAAATTCAATTATAATTTTAAAGAAATTTATAACATTTCAAATATAATTAGAATTTAAAAAATTTGGAAAAGTTGGGGAATTAGAGAAATTTTGTAGTGTATTTTAAGCACCCACAAATCTCACATCTTCCCTTGAGATTTCAAGAGAATTGAATCAAAATTTTACATGAAATCTTTACAAATTAGTTGAACTACATAAAAATTCATGAATTTATAAATCCATTAAAATCGGGATATTTGGAAATATAGCCATTTTGATAACCAACTAATGAAATATAGCCTATACTCTCCAATTGTTATAAAATTAGCCAAAATTGAAGTTAAAAAGACTTAATTGCCCTTTAAGGCATATTGAATTACTTTAATGATTTGCCTTACTCATTCAACGGAATCTACATTCGAATGCTTCCATGGTTTCATTCGGCCATCTTTCACAACTTGTATGATTGCATCAGTTGTAAGATTTGCGAAATCTAGACAAAATTCAGTAAAAATGTCGCTTCAATCATGGAGTTGCAAAGGCATGCATGCACATTCCTCCCATTTTTGTTAAAAAATGCAGAAGCTCTCACACAAACCCAAAGTTAAAATACATATAATTCCAGTAACACATTGTACCACCCGTTCTCGATTCCTCCTCTTTTACATTTTTACTTTATGAAGGAGGAGGGTTCCAATAAATAAATCTTCCCAATCAATACGTCCTCTCTTTCTCCAATCTATATTTTTTAACTTTTTAACTTGTTGAAGAGGTATCTCTTCAGAAATGCAAATATTGTTGCAGTCAATTTGCTGCTTGGCAGCATTTATCTTTTCTTTCCCCTTCTTAATTGCCAGTGGCGAAGCTACAGAGGGACTGGGAGGGGCGGCCGCCCCTCCCCTCGCCGAAAATTAAGCCCATGAACGTGGTTCCGCCCCTCTGGTCTCGTCGGAATGAATGGCTGCACTCTACTCTAATCTGCAGATCGGTTTCTGGTTTCTGGTTTCTGCTGCTGCACAGCAGCAACTTATGTAATTTTTTTTTTAAATCTCTTTAATGAAACGGCATGCCGTTTCATTTAGTATTGAAAAAAAAAGAAAAATCCTTAAACAAACGACACCGTTTCGTTAATTGCTTAAAAAATAGAAAATTTTAAAGGGACCACTGTCCCCGTGCCTTCCATTTTTCAAAGTACACCTTCACCTTTTGAAAACCACCCCACTTTTTGAAAACCTCCAGCACAGCAGCAGCCAACCTGATGGGTTGGTTTTCCACTTCTCTCTCAATTTTAGGTAAATTTTAACTTTCTAATTTATATTATCCCTAACCCTAATTGATTAATTAATACAAAATTTTAGTTAATTAATATAGAACCATAGAGTAATACATTAATATAGTTATGGATTATTGATTTTTGCATATAAATATGAATCCTATGAATGATTATTGATAAATGAAATTATTGTCTAGAGTAAAAATTGAATTCTTGATTATTGATATTAATCTATTAATTGAATTTTTGTGTATTAAATAATTTATATGAATATTGGTATTGATTAATTGAATTGTTGGTTTAATTAGTTAGTACTCATATTGACTATAGTATAGCTTACTCTAGAATTAAGAGTCTAAGACTTTTTTTTTCTTTTTCATATACAATTAAACAATGGAACGATACTATAAGAAACAATGCTTAAATCCTCCTTCAAATATTCCGGCTAGTCCTTCTTCGAATATTCCAAGTAGTCCTCCTTCGAATATTCCAAATATTTCTTCTTCGAGTATTCCGGGTAGTTCCCAACAAAGTGAGATCACTGAGTTGGATGAAATACTGGATAATCTTCATGTAGACCCTAGACATAAACGTCGAATGCTTGATTATCCACCTAATTATCGTGAAGCAATTCGCCGACATTATCTCCAAAACAAACTTTGTCAACCTAAAGATCACATCATGCCCAGAAAAGTTAGCAATAATCAATGTTTTGTCACCTGTTGGTTTGATAATTTTAAGTAGTTGGAGTATAGTATAGTAAAAGATACCGCATTTTGCCGTTATTGCTATCTATTCAAGTGTGATTTTGATAAAGAGGGAAATGCCGGAAGTGATGTCTTCACTGAGATTGGGTTTACATATTGCCGGAAGTTCGCCCCTCCCCCCGATAAATCCTGGCTTCGCCACTGATTGCCACATAACCATTAACAAAAGACGAAGGCATAGCATCCAATTCTACATCTTTATCTAATTTTTGGATTTGAGAACTTGGGCTGATTCTTGAAAAAGTTGTGAATTTTCTGGAAAAAAAAATGGTAGGAAATACAAGTGCTAGGACAAGGAAGTGATAAAGCATTGTGTTGGGTTGGATTTGGGAGATTTTTTTGGCAAGAAGGAATGATTCTTTCTCCAACCTGATGGAGCATAGAAGACGAACACCAGAGCAGGAGACAAGAGAGAGTTTTAGAATAAGGGTAATTAAGTCTTTTTAACTTCAATTTTGGTTAATTTTATAAGAATTAAAAAAGTTAGGCTATATTTCATTACGTGTTTTTCAAAGTGGTTACATTTCCAAATTTCCCATTAAAATCTCTCAAATTCTCAATTAAAATCTCTCAGCCTCCTAATTTCGCCAAAAATGGTTCAAACCCTAGTCCGAGCAATTGTCGTGGCCGCTGCCACCGCCACCACCGCAACATCTCGCCACCCCACAATCTCTCTCCTCATACCCAAACTCCTCTTCTCGACATCCAAACTTACCAACCCTCCCTCCATCCCATCCCTCATGCTGGGCCGCCGATCCCTCGCCCCGCCCACCCACGATGTCCGATTCCCTACCGCCACCACCAGGTACACTCCGATCTGCTGTGGGGTCAAATCATGTTCGAAATTTGGCCGTCCACCAGAAGACATGGAATTGGTCCACCAAGGTTGGGATTACTGGTGGATCGTCATGGAGAAGCCCGGCGGTGAGTGTGATCCAATCGATTACTATGCAGAGACACTGGCTAAAGTCGTTGGTGTGAGGTATACGTACGTAATGGGTTCTTTGATATTTCTTGTTTAGTTGCTATTAAAACGTTGGAAAAGTATTTTGAAAATGACAACGTTTTCTGCTATGAATCTCAACAAAAAAAAAAAAAAATGATTAAGCAATAGCATGATTGTTTACATTGAAAGAAAGAAAAAAAAAATCTTTCATTGATAATTTATAATGCGAACTTCGTGGCCAACAATTATAACTTAATAAATTATAAAAGATATTAATATTATATAACATCTAAATATATTTGGTTGTCTACACTTTCTGACTTTTACTTTTTAAAATTTCACGCCTTCTCTGACAATTTCTGACTTCGTTACTTGTATGTAATATTTATGAGATTTTTTAGCTATTATTCTTGGTGGTTTGATGATGATTTGTTTGTAATTGATCGGTTAATTTTGTTTTGTATTCCTGCTTTTGTTCCTTCTTCTTGTGGTGTGGCAGTCTGGAAGTAGCAAAGAAGAAGATATACAAGGTGTATTACGGCTGGAGCTCCGGTTTTTTTTGTAAGATTGATGAGCTGACGGCACGTAAGTTTGAAGGTAAGTTTGTTTGTGCCATTGATTTGCATGTTACTGTTTGGTTTATGAGTGTGTGTACGTGATTATGCATAAATAATTTTAAGAGGTGTTCTATCCATACACCTTTTTTTACTTTTCATACATTTTTTTTTACTTTTCATACACCTCTTGTTGATTTATGTTCATTGATCTTCTTCAATTCATCCGATCCGAAGTCCAAAAATTAAAAATGTATGTAAGAAGTAAAAAAGGGTGCGTGGATATTACAACCCTAATTTTAATTGTTTTTTTCCTTCTTATTATTAGGCTTGCCCGGTGTTCTTGAAACTTTCCCGGATCCGGATATGGCCGACGACTGATCCGATCCTTTTTGGCTATTCGGCGGATAATAAAAAGACAATTCCAAGCCAACAGGACTTCTTGCTTTACAAAGATCAGGAGGGGGAGGGTTATTGCAATAGCTCTTTCGTATGGTGATGAAGATCAAATGCTTTAAAGCATAAGCATATTAGGATGGCTAAACCATGATTTTGTTTCGTATCATTTGGGCAAAGTTATTCTCTAGTTACTGTAGTTTCAATTGTCACGATTTAAGTCATTGACTAAATTATTTTACAACAACAACAAACAAAGCTTTATTCTATTAAGTGACATCGACCGATGAATTTAGAACGCTATTGTGCTCGGTTTTGCACGAAATCTTTCGTTAACTTCAAGTAATCTGTATCTTTTCTTAGAGTCTCTTTAAGTCTTCATATGTCTTTCTCTATGCATTTTGTCCTAAACCTCTGTCATATAATCATATCTTCTAACCAAAACATCTATAGATTTTCGGTTTATGTGTCCAAACCATCTGAACTTATTTTCTCTCATCTTATCTTCAGTTGTGGTCACTCCCACTCAACTTAGATATCATCATTCTTAATCTTGTCATATCTCGTGTAAACACACATCAAACGAAGCATTTTGATCTTTGCTGCACTCATTTTTTACATGTGGATACTTCATCGCTCAATATTCTATACCATAAAACATTACTGGCATTATTGGCTATCCTATAAATTTTCCTTAAACTTTAGTGACATACGTAAATTACATAACACACCAAATACACTCCTAAATTGCCAAACCTATTAAAAAGCAAAGTGAAACTTCAACGCAAAATATCATGATTTCGCATAATAAAATAGAGTGACGCATTAAGAAAAGACTACCGCCTTTGGGAGTGCATTTAATTGGAATTTTGAGGGATTTTAATTCTTTTAATGAATATATGAGTATTTAATCGAGATTTTAAATAATTGTCTGAAATTTAAGGTGTATTCAATTAGAATTTTAACATAGTTTATAAAATTCTTAGAAATCCAGGTGTATTCAATTAGGATTTTAAATAAGTTTATAACATTTCAGGTGTATTCAAATAAAAATTGATTTTAAAGAATTTAAGAAAGTTGAGGAATTAGAGGGAATTTGAGAGATTTTGTAGTGTATTTTAAGTATCCACAAATCTCACATCTCCCATAAGATTTCGAGGGAATTGAATTAAAATTTTATATAGAATCTCTATAAATCAATTAAACTTCATAAAAATCCATAGATTTATAAATCACTATTCACCTTAAAAATAGCAATATTGGATGCTATAAATGCATATAATTTTGCTTTTTAGTCAACATAATTGGTAATCTTAGAAAAGGTGAATAGTGATTTTAGTGTCACCAAACTTCAACAAAAATATTTGGACAAAAACGTCCCCAAGACAAAAAACTTTAAAGGCATCTCAAATAATACATCAAATAAGGTATGGGCATTTTCGTCATTTTAACATTATTTTTTAATAAATATTTTTTTTTGAAAAAAAATTATTGTCTCACAATAGACTAGTAATAATGTGATTCAATTTCTCTATTCGTAAACACGTTCAAAACATCTTAAGAGGTGTGTAATGCCGGTTATAAAAAAATGTCTTTCGCACGCGGATAATAATGTGATTAAATTAGTTGTCAAATGAATTTTTTTTAACAAACGATATTATCTACACCAAGGGGAATGGAATGGGCTTAGCCTCTCAATGAACTAGTAATAATGTGATTTAATCAGTTGTTTATTAAATATTATTTTCTCTATTTTTTAAACAAGTTCAAAATATATTAAGAGACGTGTAATGCCGGTTATAAAAAAGATATTTCGCACGCATATAATAATGTGATTAAATTAGTTGTCAAATGATTTTTTTTTTAACAAACGATATTATCTACACTAAGAGGGAGGGGTGGGCTTAGCCTCACAATGGACTAGCAATAATGTGATTCAATTAATTGTTTATTAAATATTATTTTCTCTATTATTAATGTAAATTCTATATAGATCGATTTTATTATGTGAATTCAACTGCTTTAATTGGTTTATGAAGGTTTTCTTTTAACATGATCTAATATTATTCATTTACTTTAAATATTTGACTTTTCTGTCAATTTAAGCTAGATACATTTAAAACATGTAAGTTACGTATAACACATCGTAATTCAAAAATATCTTCTGCACACGTGTGAGCACGTGCACGAAGACTAGTAATATCAGAAAATTGAAAAGTCATTGCCTTACGGGACAGAAATATTATAGAATTGATGGACCGTATATGTAATATGTTGAAATGGCAATAAAATGTGGGACTGAATTGGCACACGTTGCCACCTCAAGGTTTCATATTTTCATGGTTGAGACATGACAGTCCATTTGTTGCCAACCGCTCACTCCACAGTATTATATTACCCTAGAAGTGTTTTATTTTTCCCCAACAAACAATAGGATGTATTCGAAGGGGTGAGGTATTCTTTTGATAATAAACATCAGAGATACATGATCAAGTCATCAAGAAATTATATTGGTCCAATTTTTCAGTGGATATAGTGTTAAAGTTTCACTCATGCATCTCGGGAATCAAAATTCTCCCTCCTTTAAGTTATTGTAATAATTTCGAACCTCTTTCTTCCCGCTTATTTTCTATTGGTGATGACAAGTCATACAATCTACAAATTTGGTCTACATAACATTATTTTATGGGTAAAAAGATCTCAATCTTACCTAGACAAACCATATAAATTAAATATTTAGTACATATAAATAAGTTCACGTATTGTGATATGAGTTTATGTTCAGTCATGACAACCTGAAAAATATAATTGCGTCTTTTATTCATATTTGAACATGTGAAATGATATACTATGTGATCGTATCCCACCATTATATTAATATTTAGGTAATTTTTTTTTTTTTTTTTTTTTTTTTTTGCAAATCATATTTAGGTAGTTGAATTATGAGTCGAAATCTTCTTTGGATATCTTGGAGCCCAATGACCCATGAATTTGAGTTGTTGAAGGAGTGAAAGAGAACATGATCCTTGATTTGTGTAAGGTAAAGCATCGAAATGAACTAAGGAGGACCGCATGATTTAAAAAGCGTGATCCGAATCTCCAAGTTCGCCGGTTGTAGACAAAATTCCGGTGGGAATTTCAACTCAATTTATCACTCTACTCCCCAAAAGAAAGAAAATTACTGTGTACTACACTACAGTAGTAGCGTCGACGGTCAAAGGTAAAAGGTAGAACTATCAGTTGGAGTATAAATGAAAATCCACCGACGCTCGTAGACCTGGACTGAAACAGATTTCAGAGAGAGGGAGAGATCTTCAGAGAGGGAGAGAGCGTCTGGTCGGGAATCGCGATCGTCCCGCCGGCCAGCCTCTGACCTACACACACAGAGAGATCCCTCAGACGACCAGAAGAAGGAGAAGACGATCGGACGGCTGAGAGTCGCTATGGAAATGACGTCATCATCGGGCGGTGGAAGGTACATGGCGTACTCGCCGTCACCGTCGGCACCTCACTCCCCTCACCTCTCCGGCCTTCGCTCCGCCTCCTCCTCCGCTGCTCTCGTTGCCGCCGAGAAAGAAAAGTATGCCTCTTTAGATCTATTTACCATTTCCTGATTTCTCTTCGATTAGAAACCGTAATTTGATTTCTTGATCTTGTATGAACCCTAATCGACATCGTTTTATTTTGTGTATATATATGCTTATGTGTGTGTGTGTGTGTGTGTGTATATATTGCAGATATCTATCTGAGCTGCTTGGGGAGCGTCACAAGCTGAGTCCATTTTTGCCTGTGCTGCCGCATTGCAACAGGTTACTAAACCAAGGTCAGTTTTCAAGTTTGTCTTTGTTTACGAGAACTGATTTTATTGGTATATATGCGAATGTATAGATGTGGAGACTCTGCTTCAGTAGCTGCTTGACTTGAATCACAATTCACTTCACACGATTCGGATAACTTTGCAGGGTGTAGGGACACCCTATAAACCTAACATGAACAAAACACACGATAACCCGCCTAATAGACGTGTAATTAGTTTAACTTGGTGATAGATGCTAATGGGCCTGTCCTGCTAATCAAATTTGTTAAAGTTAGCTTGGGACTGATTGTCTCGTGATATCATCGGGCTCGGCTGACATTGTATTGCATGAGTGGGATAGAACTCTTGAAAAGATAACTTGCTTGATTAGTTTGAAATGCCTGTTCCAAATCAAATTCACAAGGGTTGAAAAGTATTGAGGTGGTGCTCATATCACAAGCAACTGCTTTGCATATGAAGCAAAAAATAATTCGATTACAATGATTAGCGATGTGGAATGCTTTTCATTGTATTGTATCTCTTTTGGCTCCAAGGTTTTTTACATACGGCAGAGGTGGGATATAGGTTGCCTTGTTTAGTCTGACTTGGAGCTCTCCTTTTAGTACTTGGTAAACCTTTGCAGACCTTGTCTTTTAGTTCAGGATGAGGGATAGTCTCATTTTCTTAGACCCTAAAAGGATGACAAACCGAAATCTTGTCTATACCAGTGGGAAAATGCTAACATAACAGGTTTTGGGTGTTTTTACGTTAATTAGAGGATAAAAATATAATAAACCTGGCCCTTCTGTATAAAGTGAAACTGAACATGTTCCATTTTCTTTAAATATTTATAGTGGGGCCTTCCTTTTCAGATACCTAAAGACTACAAAGCCACCTGTCCCAACCAAAAGGTATGAGCCCTTTTCAAGTATAGATTTTTGACCCATAGTCTATCAGACTCTATCTTGGGATTCATGACTACCAAATTTAGATGCCAAGTTCCTAGCTGAGGACATAGCTTGATCCATAAGTTTTTGCGTTGTGTTTGGGAGTACTTCATGTGTACTTGTTTCTGGGTTTCTTTTTTTCCTGTCTCGGAGAGGAGTCCAAGTTTCTGCTTATTGTTGTTAATTGGTAATATTGACATTGATTTCTCAGGTTTAAGTGGTTTGGTGATATCGTCTCAAGCCTACTGGTGGTGTTTGGTGGATGTGTATCCTCTCTTGGGGTTTCGTGCCTCTAATAACTTGGGTTCTCATTTATTAGTTTCCGGCTTCTGTAGTTTGTATTAACTAAGTTTTAAGGATGAGTGTTGGTGTTCATAGCTATCTTACAAATGATAAGCTTCTTTTCTTTATTAACTTCTCATTACTTTAATGGTTGTGTACACTCTTTTAAAGTTAATTTTATTACTTGGGGGAAGCATTGATTTTAACTGACTCAGGAAAAAATTGGTGTTGTCTCTCCATTTTGTGGTGACCGCTAACCTTATAACAAATGCTAACTGGTACATCTTATTCTTGAAAATTGACATTTTTGGAGCAGAAATATTGCGTGTAACTACACTGTTGGGGAATGCGTCAGTTTTAGGTCAAAGTGGGCTTGAACATGCTAGCCCCCTGGCATCTAGAGGAATGTTTCCAAATGGAGGTGCTGATGTGAACGGATGGGCATCACGGATTCAATCAGAAGTACGGATACTAACCATTGACTTATTAACTTAACATAACATTGTTTTCCATCTAATTTACTGTTTTTTAGAAGCATTGCTGACACGATCTTTTACATCTCATGCTAACCTTTAACATCTGTTTAGGTGCTGCAATTTATATTGCCACTTTTGAGACAGGTAGTCTGAAGCTAACATCAACAAGCAAGAGACTACTAATTAGCTTTGCTTCTGGAATCCTACTTCAATTAAGATGGTCCTCTGTTTATTCTGTCTTTTTGTCAAGACGAACTTAATTTGATTTTGTTACATATTCTCAAATTTTACATTTGGCATAAAGATGCAATTCATAATACTAATGCAGAGTACTGAAAGTCGTTTACAATCTACAGGAGATGTCCTAATTTTCTTGTTTAGTGTACTGGCCCTTTGGTTATGCTTGTTAATCGAGTTTGCAAGTTTTTGGTCTTTGTTGATGTTGTTTTGAAATATTTCAGCTACCAGATGCCTTTGTTTGCAAGGGGATTGTAGAATGATTTAGTTTGTTGTTGTATTGATTTTTTAGTCCTTGAAATGCATTGTTCTCTACAGGCAATAGTCGGGCAATTTTCTGAGTTCCATTGTATCTTCTAAGGTCTACATGTTTTTCTACTTGGTTATTTCTCTGCTTAATTATTCATAACATTGTTCAAAGCATGCGTAATGAATTTATTTGGATCTTGAAGGTTCTTCAAAGATCAATATCTTATGTTATCATATGTGTAGAGCAGAATACATATGATCATGAATAACATTACGATGTTATTTTAGGTTTTAACCTTCTTGGATTATACTGTTCAGATGTCAGGTTTATTACAGCCTTTATCAACCCAAAACTGGCTGAGTTCTCAGAGTAGTTCATCTGGTCTGATTGTGAAGCGAACAATCCGGGTGGATATTCCAGTTGACAAATATCCTAATGTAGGGATGAATTACTAAATTCTGTTAATTTCTCTGTGTACGTTTCTATGTTTGTCTGACATCAAATCCTTGTTGCAGTTTAACTTTGTTGGGCGGTTGCTAGGCCCTAGGGGAAACTCTCTTAAGCGGGTGGAAGCAACTACTGAATGTCGTGTTCTGATCAGGGGACGTGGTAGCATAAAGGATCCAACTAGGGTAATAATGAGTTTTTTCTTAATATATGAATGCATCTATATGCTTATTTGTGGAATTGATCTGGCATTCATGCATTCAAAGAAATTCTGAACGAATATCTGTTACACTATGCTGTAAATAAATTCAGTTTCTGTTACTTTTAGTTCAAATTGTGTGAATCTAATGTTAGTCCACCATCATATTTTTGTTCTAAAGGAAGAAATGATGAGAGGAAAACCAGGGTATGAACATCTGAACGAACCTCTTCATATTCTAGTGGAGGCAGAACTACCAGTTGAAATTATTGATGCTCGTTTATTACAAGCACGTGAGGTACTTGAAGATTTGCTCAGGCCTGTGGTATGTTCTCTATCTGATTTGAAATTTTTCCGATCACCTCTCTTGTAAATTTGTTAATCTTGTCTTCAAATACAATCTCTTGACTATTTCTGGGAATGGTTTCTGTATCTTTTTAAGGACGAATCTCAGGATTTCTACAAGAAACAGCAGCTGCGAGAGTTGGCAATCCTCAATGGCACACTTCGTGAAGAGGGTTCTCCAATGTCTGGTTCGGTGTCACCCTTCCACAACAGTCTTGGTATGAAGAGGGCCAAGACCAGGGGGTAATAGATCCACACTCTTGGAGCTTGTTTTGTTAGTTTCTGCCAGTAAACAGCGGTTTCCACGCCACACGTGTTGCTGTGTCAGCCAATCCTCCAACTACCATCGGGGCACTGGCAAACACCCCTTGTGTGCCAGTTCTAACTTGTTTCCATATCAAAGTGTGTGTAGCTACTGGTCAGGAGGAGGGTTGGCGTATCGCATAGGAAAAGGACAGTTTGTACGGGGGGTTTGCTTTTTATATATTGCGTTAGAAGTTTGGTCGGAGCATTAGCTCTCTAAGCCTGTCCTTAATACTATTGTAAGCATTTGATGACAGTTGTGCTACCGTCTTGGGGCTCTGTGAGCAAGTTATGGTATGGCGTGTATATGAATAGCGATTAGCGAAGCGAGGCCAAAATTCGAGTAATGTTGTACTGTCTAGATTGCATTTGGATTTATTTTAAGCGTTCTTTGTTTTGTTCTATGAAATAGTAGTTTCTCATTTACTTGATGCTTCTTGCACCAACAGCTACATTTCTTGTATTTTTCAGTGACGATTTTTGAACAACGATATGATATACAGTAAAGAGGGGTGGGTTAAGTCTTACAATGAGCTAGTAATAAATAATGGGGTTCAAATTAACCCATTTTGAGGCTAATTCACCCCTTCCTCCTTAGGGTATATAATATCGTTTGTTAAAAAAAAAAGATGGCTCAAGGACGATTTACGACATAGAAATGTGGAACACTCTGGCGCAAATGATTAAGAATGCTTTGCGGCACAAATGGTTAAGAAGTCGAGATTTTATGGCAGTCGTCTAGAAATGTTAAATGGTTGAGGAATTCAGATCCTCTTTGGATCTAGTTGTTCGGAGTCAATGGATCGAGTAATTCAGACCGTTTTAAGAGAGGGAGAGAGAGGATCGCAACACTTTGTTTGTGTAAATAAGCCAGTGAGATGAGCTAATATGGTAAATTTTTTGAATCCGCCAGATCCGGACTGCGAGATCCAGAGGTTGAGAATTTTGAGAGATTTTGCTGCAGTTCGAAGTCGATGAACGAACAAAAACACTGTGAGTCTTCTTATAACATACAAACAGGTACCGGAAAATCCACATACACAGCATACTATCAAGTGATATGAATTGTCGATGACGAGAGAATTTTAAAGAGTCTACATTTCAAACTATTTACATGGTCATCTCAATGGAGGACTCATCGTAACATTTTACATGCTCTGTATCAACTAGGGCACTGTTAGAGTTATCGAACCCTCTAACCTCTCGTTCAGTCTTCATCCTCGTCCTCAAGATCGTCGATTCCAATCCATCGAGTAAACGCAAACAGAAACTCCTTGAAGTTCACCATTCCGTTTTTATCCCAGTCCATCTCTTCTGCAACAATGGAGAAGTTAACAGATTTAGAAAATGGATTTTCCCTACCCTCTAACTTCAGGACATTTAACTTAATGAACTAGTTCCTCAGAATCCACAATTGGAGACACGAACAAATGAAATCATGAGCAAAACGTCCGCGCCAATGCATACAGATGAACACAAATGATCTACTCTGTATGTAGCAAAGAAACGATGCCTTCTAATTCAAGGAATAAAAATCCTTCACAAGATAGGGTTTAATGTGTATGCTTGTATTGGTGTGTTTGTGTGTAAGAATGCGGGTAGAGAGAGAGAGGGAAGGGGAGAGAGAGAGAGAGAGGATGACCAAATCTTTTCATGGCTATGCGGCCGGAGGAACGTTCTCCTGTCGTAGTTTCGTTGATGGCCTCGACCATTTCACTCTTGCTGACATAACCATCCTTGTTCTTGTCCAAGAACACAAACGCGTCTACCAGTGTTTCAAACGTGGCCTCCAGTTCCGGCATCCCCAGTTGCAATTTCTAGCAAAAGTCACGGAGCACAAAGAGAAGAGGAAAAAGAACACAAAAAAAATGAAGCTTAAGAAAAATACACAGAACCAAGTATGTGTGTTTGGATACAGTGTGAACGGCTTTGTTATCATCCTTAAGAAGATGAACAAGGCAAATAAGAACGATGAACTCGTTAAACTTGATTCCCATATCCTCGTTAATATCGCATGCCTCAAAGAGATCAATGATCTCCTCGTCTGTAAAAGAGACTTCCAGTTTAGAGAAACATTTTTTCATCTCTTCTTGATCGATCATACCATTCGAATCCTCATCTGTCGAGAAGAAAAAAGTACACGAGTTACTGACTAAATAGACATGGAAAGTACAAATTTAGAACAGAACTGAACGGGATACGATGCATACCAAATTGCTCGAAAATAGCCTTGCAATTTCTTAAGCTCTCATCGATCTTTGGGAACTTCAAGATGAGGCTGTTAAACGATTTCATAACACTTCCTTTCGCTGCTCTGCGCTGCATAGCTTCAACCATCTTCGCCTCTAGCTTCGTTTCATGTATCGAAAACTTTCTATAACTTTCGCTCTTTCCCACTACGCCCCCCATTGTCAATTACCAAGACAAATCGGGATTCAGTTCTGGAAGTAACTAGCGTACCTGATCAGTAAAGTAAACAAAAACTTCAGCAGCTGACATTCAAACAAAAACGATGAGTAAACTATGAAGCGATACACGTAAACAATCTGATCAAACAAACGGAATAAACAGATGAGTAACACCGTAAAACTATATCAGAGACGTATCAAAATACTTCGAATGAGATCAAAGCGATGTCCCAAATCATGCATCACCCCAGAAACCATCTAACACCCCGGAAAAAACCTGTCTAAGCTTTCAGAGAGACGAACTAGCGGTCAACTACTAATCAACACCGATATTTCCCAACTTGCGTTTGGCCACAACAGGCGTGGGTTTTGAACGCAAAATCCATCAGTGCTATTCGTAGTGGAGCATTCCTTATATACTGTATTTTATTTTGTCAAATTTCCGACAGGTGACTTTACGTTCTTCAACACAGTCCTCCTATAAGGCATGCATAAATTGATTCTTCGTACAAAAATAGATACAACAACCAACCTTTGTCCTGCTAAGTGAGGTTGGCTATATGAATCTTAAAACGCCCTGACTCCGTCAAACATATATCTGGGAAAAAAAATAAGAAAACACATAAAAACATACAACTAATGGATCGAATTGTTGATTTATATCACAAATTTTCACTCCCAAGTGATCCCAAATGAACACAAAACAAACTAATTTAACATTATTCAACAAAACTAGCAAAAAGATAAAAAATAACAGAGGAAAAATGAAAAGATTGAAACTTTAGGGGACACACCAGAAAATTCCCAGGTTGCTTTTACAGAAACAAAAAGCTTGAAACTTTGACACGATGAGAACCTCCCAGATGGGCAAATCAAGAAGAACCCAGAAATTGATCATCACAAACCAAAGAAGCAGAAACAAGCACGTAACAAATAAGCAGAAAGAGAAAGGCCCAATATTTGTGTTTGTTAGTGGGATGGGATGGGATGGGGATGGGGTTGGCTTTCTTTCGGCTTTCGGCCTCTGAACCAATATTTGTGGTGTACCCAACACGTATTCTTGTCCATCTCCATCCATCCATCCCAAATCGATGTCAGAATTTACAACACATGGCACCTTCGCTGACATTTTACTAGAACACAACAAAAAAAAAACTGAAATTAAAAAATAAAAACCATTCAATATAGCATATTCTATGAGATAATATTAAATACATGAACAACAAAGTTCCCTTGAATCCAAGGCCTTCTCACCGGTAAATTGTAGGACGTGTCGTTATCAATCACATAACAGGTGATCTCAAACTTCAAGCCAATCCGTTAAATCCAATTAGGTTAAATGATCTAGCAGCGCTTATTCAAATGTCTTGTACTGTTAGATCCGTTAAATTCCGTAGATTAAATGATCTAACAGCCCTTATTAAGATATATAACTTAAATTTGCAATTTTAATGTGGACTAGAAAACCAAAAAAAAAAAAAAAAAAGGAGAAGAAGAAGAGTGTAGAGGAGTATGTTTGAGCCCACACATTGCCTGGCCCATATTATTGGGCCTGAATCGGGCCCTTATCAAAGAAGGGTTGGGTTGATGCCAGCCGAACCACTGGACCCACAAAAACAAAAGTAAAATTATCTAAAAAGAATACAATATTTTATATATTATTTTATTTTAATTTATTTTCGTGAAGAAGAAAAACAAGTTCAATTAAAGTTTAACATAAATAGGAAATAAATAAGAAAATTAAGGCGCACGCATATGCCCTTATGGATATGCATCAGCCTAATTATCGTACCACGCAATATTATCCAACATTTATTTCCATTAATTTTGTGGTTAAATGCAAATATTGAGCCAAATTACTAAATCTAAATAACTTACAATTTTACTTTTTTCTTATTCCACTTTTTATAAAATAAAAAATGGTACGTAAAATAAACTCGTGCACCAAAATTGGGCACTAAATAATGTAACATATTTTACACAATATAACATTTACGTAGGTTTTGTGGTGTGGGAATTGATTTTCGCATGCACTTATTCTCGCTCTACTCACTCTTATCAATTTTCTAATAATTGAATTGAATAAATAAATAAAAAAAGGCAATGAATACAAATGAGCCAGGTATGTATATGTCTTATTCTCGTCTCATGAGTCTCATATATTAGTATCATACTCAATTTTTTTTGTCCACTGTAAAATCGTAATCCTTACATGAACCGAGTATATTTGTATTACATTCATTTTGACCTACAGTGGCAGGCTAAGGAGAAAATATTCCATTTCCTTTTTTGAATAGTTTATGTTGGATTTTTATGTAAAGTAAAACAATAAAAAAATAAGGAAAACTAATAAAAATGATTTAAAAACTTTAAATTTTAACGATAAAGAGAAACTAAAAGGTAAAATGAACAATACCATGATTGACTTTTTAGTCTAAAAATATAGTTTTTTGTTAAAATAAATAATACCGAGAGCTTTTCGGAGAGGCATACAACAATGAAGGATTGAGAGGAATTGACACTGGCTGATACCGATGTTAAAACCTTGCTTTGCTTCTTCACAATTGCACAGTACTTTCTTGCTTTGCTTCCTTTGTAAGCTATCATCTAACAAGCTTACAACCATCTTATCTACTACTATAGCATCTCTACCTTACATTTGTCATATCGAGATGATGACAAGTGGCATCCTAACATTTTTAGTGTAAACAACATCGAAAATTTTTCGTTAAAGTAAACAGCACCGAAAAACCTTTCGTTAAAATTCTTTAAAAAAATATCCAACAAAAAAAATAATAAAAAATAAAAAGTTGGTGGCCACAAATTAAATTCGAGTTTCATACGAACACGCCCACACTCTATACTTGGTAGTATATATACGAGGGACCTTCTAGCCCAAACCCATTCCTGCGTATCTCTCTCTCTCTACGGCTCTCAGACGCTGAGTTTCTCTCTGTTCTTTCTCTCTCTGGAAGTAGAAGCTCCCAAACCCAACCAGAAAACCCTAGCCTAATCGCCGGTGAGCATATCGCCTCTTCGATTTCTCGATTTCTTATGCTTTTTTCTCTTCAATTGTTTCGGATTGTTGATTTATCGAACGATTGTATGCGAATTTTCATATTTTTGGGGTTCTTAGTGATCGTTTGATTGATGTTTGTTTCGAATTTTGTTTGAATTTCCTTTTGAAACGATGGTTCTGTTTTCCTTTTCATGCAATGAATTGATTGAAGTGTAGTTTGAGGGATTTGGCTTTTTTCGTGTGCGGATTAGATCGTTGTGATGCCTTTGGTTACTAGTTGTGGGTTTTTTTGGTTTCGAAATGCTTTGCTTTTCGAGTTTTTGAATTCTGAATCCTAGGGTTTGCTGGTTGATACTATTACTGAGATAAAGCAAGATTTCGATGCGAAATTGTGAGTTTATTTTTAATTTTGTAACCACCTGATTCGATTTAGGAGAAAGGGGCACTTGTAGTGTTGAATTTGTACGTATCAGGTTGTTGGTGGTGGGGTGTGTTGATGTTACAGGGTAATGGACACACTACTGTTTCGTGAGCCTGTTACTTTTAATTGGAGTATTGATGTTGGCACAGAAACTCCCGTTTGTTCTATGCGTTTCTTTCGGTTGTGCGACACTGCAACTCAATCAGATGCATATGAAGTATTTGTTTTGACTGTTATTGTGTTTAACCTTGCAGCACATTGTTGTAGTGTTTCGTGATGGCTTCGAAGCGGATCAACAAGGAGTTGAAGGACCTTCAGAAAGACCCGCCCGCTTCTTGCAGTGCAGGTATTTTGTTCTATTCTCATGTATTTTTAAATGTTTCTTTTGATATGTAATATTTGGGTCAGTTGGTGTTTTGTATATGTGAACTTCAGTTACCAGTTGTTCAAGTATTCATCTTTTCCTGGATATCATTTTGTGTTGTTGCTTTTGATTCTTGAAGTTTATACGAAAAGATTACTCTCACTGAACATTCACATGGGAGAAGAATGATATTAGAGAATTCACATTTGAAATGAAAAATGTGAAGAGATTCGTACATCTAATTTTAAAATAGTTGTTTTTGGGCATTGATTGGTATCTTGGGCAGCTGGTTTAAGTGTACTTTATAAACTCACTCTCGTTTTAGATTAGTGTGTTTGTTGTGGTTTCTAATGCATTGTCCTTCAGCAGTTACCAGTATTATCTTGTATTCTTCTGGTTTGGTGGATATATTGTTTATTTTGGATGTTGCATGTAATTCTTTTAACCATGTTTTTGAGTAAGAACCAGGTTTTAATGCTGAAGAGAAGAGGCATTAAGGTTTCGCTGTTGAAGTTTACAAAGTATTACTGTTTTATGTATGTTTTAAAACTAAGTTTTTCTTTTCCAACAGGTCCCGTTGCTGATGATATGTTTCACTGGCAAGCAACTATTATGGGTCCAGGCGACAGCCCATTTTCTGGTGGTGTTTTTCTTGTATCCATTCATTTCCCGCCTGATTACCCTTTCAAGCCACCCAAGGTTTATATCCCCAGAAATTTAATCCACCTTGTGCAATGCAAACTAGAGCAGCAAAATATTTCATCTGTTTAAGGCTTGTAATTTCAATGCAATTGGATTGATGAAGTGTGTTGTTTTTATATGGTGATAATAATACTCATAGCGTGCTACTTTTTGTGCATTGAACAGGTTGCCTTCCGAACAAAAGTTTACCATCCGAACATCAATAGCAATGGTAGTATCTGCCTTGACATCCTCAAGGAGCAGTGGAGTCCTGCCCTGACCATTTCCAAGGTAACGCACTTATCTCGTGTTATTTAGATCTTCCTTCATTCTTTTCTGTGTCAATGCATATTGATGCGCATTGTTTGTCATTTACATAATAACTGATTGTTTCTTGATGCAGGTCCTCCTCTCCATTTGCTCCCTTCTGACAGATCCAAACCCTGACGATCCTCTGGTGCCTGAGATTGCGCACATGTACAAGACTGATAGACAGAAATACGAGGCCACTGCTCGATCGTGGACCCAGAAGTATGCCATGGGCTAGGGGATTCTTCTCCCTGAGAAATCCATTATGCTTGAATGTTATCGTAATAGTAAATAAATAGATGTAAGAGGTGGAACTGGGATTTTTAAGATGCTTGTTCTTATTTCGTCTGCGTATTGTCTCTTTTGGTATGGAGGAGGTTTACATTGTTTTGCCGCCTTCAAGTTGACAATGTTATTTTCAATAGGTGGAAAATTTCCCTTCGTTATTTGGAATTCCTTTTTTCTTGTTTGATTGATAAGTTTATGCTTTCTTGTTTGCATTGTTTTAATTTGATGCTCTGGTGTTGGATGAGAAAAGCTCAATCTCAACATGCAATGCGTCTCGGAGTCGGACCGAACTTTCAATTCGATGTCAAATTCCGAGATAGTGTTTAGAGGAGGTATTTATGTCTGTTTTGGATTGCTTCTTGAAGGGGTAAAAACTTTGGAGGCGGCCTTTTCGTTGTGTGTTGATGAAAATCGTACTTCTGCATCTCTCTCCACAGCCCCTTGAATTTACAATTGTGACTTTTTGCTCTTTGCTTTCACACTGTCTCAATTTGTCCATTTTGTCAAGTTGTTCAGGAAAATCGTTAACTTTGTATAACTAGAACCAAAACGGTAATGCTAAGTTTTGAGGAAAAAATTTCCGCTTCATCCAAGTTAACGATTTTTTTTACCAACGTAATGGAATAGGGTAACGGACACAAAATGAAAGTGTGGCAAAATCACATATTTGCAAGTTCAGGGGAATGTGGGATTTTCGTGAAAGTGCAACAACATATAAACGAATAAAAACTCGTTTGGATGTAATTTTAAAATGGTTAAAAGTGCCTTTAGAGAAAATGATTTTTTGTTTCAAAATCATTTAAAAGTGTTTTCTGCAAGAAGCACCAGTTATGTGCTTTCTGTGATTCTTCCAAGAGGCACCAATTATGTGTTTCTTTCAAGAAGCATTTTAAGTACTTTTCCAGAATTTACTACATTTTTATTAAGGATTTGTTCCAAAAACATTTTCACGAAAAGCGTTTTTAGTCATTTTAAAAGCACATTCAAACAAACACTAAATCTTTAGATGATTAAAAGTGTTGTTTATGGTACTTTGGGGAAGAAAAAAAATTTGAAAGTGCCCATGAGCTCTAAGTGCTTTTTAGTGCATTTTGAAGAAGCATCTATGAGGTACTTACTCAAGGAGTGTTTTCGAAAGAAATAAGCATGATCGAGCACAAACTTTCTTTTGAGGAGTGGTTATCACGCTTCCTTTTGCTTTATTTGTCTCATTCTTTTTGTTACAGCATGGGTTGAACAAATCAGGGCAAAATTAATTTCGACAAAAAACGTTTGAAGAAGTGTATAAGAGGAAAGTTGGACTATGTAAATAACTGTTCATTATGATTTTCACGAGTAATATTTGCATAATATTATGATGAGCAACAGGGCAAGCCATCATTCCTTCCTGCTACATAATAAAGAAAACCTCATACATGGTCAGAAAAAAAAATGGGAACTTTAACGAAAAGCACCCGGTACTGTTCACTTTAACGAAAAACCACATTTTTACACTAAAAAGTCAATCCTGGTACTATCCACTTTACCCTTTATTTTGTCCTTATCATTAAAACTCAAAGTTTTCAAGCCCTTTTCATTAGTTTTCCTAAAAAAAGCAAATGACTCTAGGCCACAAAACAAAACAAAATATTGAACTAATGAAGTGGATTGTGAGAGAGAAACATGTAGGAGGGGAGTTGACATGGATCAGGCAATCTCCTTGAATGAAAGGACCACCCATCCAGCAAAGAGCGAGGTCTTGATGTTGATGGCCTGAGGTAGAGTGCTCAATGGGCTAGGATGACCCCGTTGAGCCTTACCAACCCCAGGAAAACTTTGGAGAACAATCGAGAAACTGAATACACTGAAAATGCAAACTCCATCAACGGGCCCCAAGATGACACTTTGAAGTTTTCCCATACATTATATATATGTATAATACTAGTGAAGAAACTATCCATCTCCAGTGTAAAGCTGTGCAATGCAAGTTACATTATTAGCTATTCCAAATAACATCTTTATGTTGTGCAGCAGGCAGAGATATGTAACAAGTTTTAAAGAGTAATGAGCTTCAAGGTGAAGAAAATGGGTTACTAATTGTTTTTGTTACTTTTGACCACAAGGCTAGAGGTTTTTTTTAAACGCTCAAGATTAAGTCAAATCATCATCTTGTTTACCTTCTTTGTAGAGAGAGAAAGAAGAAACTGAGAGAGGAGTGGAGAAAGGAGAGAGGGAAATGGAGGGTAGAGAATCAAACCCTGTTATAGATCGGGTTAGTGGCGCCTTTTTCATATATAAATAAATTATACTACATTCTCTATTGAATCTGTAGCACAAAAAATAAAATCTCAAGATATGAATCTTCCTATATATTTCTCTTTCTCTCTCCCAAAATTATAAACTATATATTTCTCTCTCTAATTTATCAACTTTTGCTAGCATGAGATGAGAGATGTTATTCATGTGGAATGCAAGAAGGAAAAAGAAAATTGTAGCAATGGTCTCTTAACTTTAAGTTACAACTCTCTCTCTCTCTCGACCATGGATCTTTTAACTCATCAAAACGTGTAGCTATGGTTATTTTTTTCAACTCTGTCAGAATTTCGTCAAAATGAGTTATGTTAGAATGACCATTGCTACCATTGGGTTACAACTCTCTCTCTCTCTCTCTCTCTCTCTCTCTATATATATATATATTAACCCAATTGGAGCAATGGTCCCTCAATTTTAACCCAATTGACCATGGATCTTTTAACTCATCAAAACGTGTAGTTATGGTCATTTTTGTCAACTCTGTCAGAATTTCGTCAAAATGAGTTATGTTAGAATGACCATTGCTACCATTGGGTTACAACTCTCTCTCTCTCTCTCGACCATGGATCTTTTAACTCATCAAAATGTGTGGCTATGGTTATTTTTGTCAACTCTGTCAGAATTTCATCAAAATGAGTTATGTTAAAATGACCATTGCTACCATTGGGTTACAACTCTCTCTCTCTCTCTCTCTCTCTCTCTCTCTCTCTCTCTCTCTCTATATATATATATATATATATATAGTGAGCACCCTAAAATGGTGAAGCATTCAAAATACTATAAATTGTCCCTAAAAAATTACATGTATTTTTAACAACCGATATTATCTACACTAAAGGGGAGGGGTGAGCTTAGCCTCACAATGAGCTAGCAATAATGGGGTTCAAATTCATCTTTGGCAATAATCGAATCTAAGACCTCTCACTTATAAGTGAAGGAGAATACCACTAGACTATTGTACTAAGTGACAAAATTACACTTGAATGAAAAGGAGTTAAAGTAATTTTAATTCAACACATTTTAATTTTGAATGAATTTAAAATTTAAAACTTTAGAAAAAGACAAAAAAAAAGTTCCACATTTGTGGGTTGTAACATTCCACATCGCCCAGGGGAGTGATCCTTAAATGTATATGCTCATCCCTACCTAGCACGAGGCATTTTGAGAGCTCACTGGCTTCGGATTCCGTCGGAACTCCGAAGTTAAGCGAGAAGGAGGCTAGAGCACTCCCAAGATGGGTGACCCACTGGGAAGTTGCTCGTGAGTTCCAAAAAACACAACCATGGTGGAACGGGCTCGGGATGTGGTGGACCCGGGCCGGGATGTGACATGGGTGGTTTATGATTGACTTCCAATTTATTTTTGAATAATTTTTGAATAAAAATATATAAATAAAAACTTAAATATACTAATACTTATTGTGAAAAAAAAACTTTTAGTTTAGTATACAAGGGCCAATTGTCACACGTGTAAGCATATGACAAGATGTTATCCCTCCCTGATTAAGACCCTAAATAAATACATTTACTTTTTTTTTTAATTCAAACAAAGCATAAATATAAATTACAAATAAATGATAAAGAAAAAGATGTAAAAAATTTGCCACACGCAAGAGCCTGTTGCAAGAAATTACTAATTTATAAAATTATAGATTGAGTTTAAATTTGAAAAAAAATTAAATATATTTTTATGAAGACATAATAATATTCCATAAAATATTTAAAAAAATTAACCCCTAAAATATTCAATTATTTATAATAAAAAATAATAAAAACACAAAAAAGAGTCGATGTAAAAGAATTGCCACATGCATGAGCATGTAACAAGAGGTTAGTTTTAGGGTGCATTAAAAAAATTTAAATATATTGCTACGGACAAATAATAATATTCCATAAAATATTAAAACATTTAACCCTTAATCTATTCTGCTATTCATAAAAAACATTTTAATTTTTTTTAAATGCAAACTAAGCATAAATATAAATTACAAATAAATGACAAAGAAAAAGATGTAAAAATTTTCCACACGCAAGAGCCTGTTGCAAGAATTACTAATTTATAAAAGTATAGATTGAATTTAAATTTGAAAAAAAATTAAATATATTTTTATGAAGACATAATAATATTCCATAAAATATTAAAATATTTAACCCCTAAAATATAAAGGAAAATTTTTTAAAACACAAAAAAGAGTCGATGTAAAAGAATTGCCACATGCATGAGCGTGTAACAAGAGGTTAGTTTTAGAATGCATTAAAAAAATTTAAATATATTGCTATGGACAAATAATAATATTCCATAAAATATTAAAACATTTAACCCTTAATCTACTCTGCTATTCTTAAAAAAAAAAAGGAAAAAGTTCAAAAACAAATACAAAAGCCGCCCTTGGGAGTCCCATAAGGAATGTATACGTTTAAATTTCGTAACCCTAAACCCTAAACCCTCAACCAACCCTAAACCCTAAACCTCAACCCTCAACCAACACTCAACCCTAAACCCTAACCCTAAACCCTAACTCTAATCCTAAACCCTAACCTTAAACCCTAACCTTAAACCCTAAACCCCAAACCCCAAACCCTAACCTAACCCTAAAACCCTAAACCCTAATCCTAAACCCTAAACCCTAGACCTTAGACCCAAAACCCTAAACCCTAGACCCTAGACCCTAACCCTAAATCCTAGAACCTAAATACTAACCCTAAACCCTGAATCCTAACCCTAACCCTAAACCCTTAACACTAACCCCTAAACCCTATACCTAAACCCTAAAACCTAACCCTAATCTTTTGGTGTGATCCAAATTAGTCTCAATCTTTTCAAATTTCTCAAAAAGGTATATGGAGTATAGGAAATGTCACTTCCGTTAGTTCCCAAGTTAAAAGAACCGTT